AAGGAACTTCAGAGTGAAAGAAGGTTGGATGTGAATCCTAGCTCAGCCATGTACTATGGTGTGACAGGTCTAATCACTTGATAACTCAGAACCCATTTTCTCATCTGAAAAACAGAGATGATGATACTCTTCTCTAGAGTTTGCTATGAGAACTAAAAGATATAATGTACACCAAGGTGACCCAGAGGCTGCCATGCAGAGAGAGCTCGGTACGTGATAATATGTATTACTACATTTCTTCTTTAGAGATGATTTCACTTTCTTTGCATTTCTTAAAGTGGGAAATCACAGCTACTGTCTTTCTTTTTATAAATTTGTTGCAAAATTTTCTTCAAGGGTCATGGAAGGACATCCAAAGCAAAGATGAGAAATGACTAATGAAACGTTGAAGGTACCTCTGATTCAAAGTGCTATCCCGGGATCTAACTTGGATTTTCCATGTCCTTGAGATAACATCAAGATTACCTCTGAATTGTGGTGACAGCAAAAAATTCTGAATCTATCACACGTTCATACTGTCACAGTCTAGATTTTCATTATGATATTTGATCATCCATTATAAATTCTGAGAAAGCAGAGCTCACATTTACCAAAATCTCTGCCTACTCTGATTGGGTAAGCTAAACAGAAGACAGAGCCTTTTTGGGGAAATAGGATGCTTCAATCACTCAAGAAAATAGTGCCTCCCATGACCTCTGCACAAGATTAAGTGCCTAATGGAGATTAAATTTGGTGAGATCTCTGCCTTCAGGCAATTTCTCTTTTAGAGGAGTCAACCTAAAACAAGAAAACAACAAAAAAATGAAATGACCATTATTTTTGAAAAGTACTACGAAAAAATGATTAAGAGGCTGAGATATACATAAAAAGGATCACCTATATGGAAAAGGCTACATATTTTGATATGACACATAAAATTAAAAGGAGCTGGTGAACAAAGGAATCTCCCAACAGAAAGCAGAGCAAATGCAAAACTTCGGAAGTCTTTGTGATTGTTGTTGCCGGTGATGATGGCCCTATCGTTATTTTAAAGTAAAGATCTGTGGTTAACAGTATCATAGCTTAGTGAAAATGTGTATTTTCAAGAGACAACTGAGGGCCACTGCCAATATACTGTGATCTACCCAGACATCACTTAAGTGGAATTTAGATTTACAACTAAAGGGGAAAAATATGTACTTCAATTCCAAGAGGAAAAGAAAAACAAAAGCGCTGCTTATGTAGAAAGAAGTATTCAGACCCACAAACAGAAAGTGTTGCAAATTTGGGTTCAATTTGGCCCCTGACATTGACTGACTAGCACTCTGTGCTGGATTTTTCTCGCTGTAAATATGCAATCAATCCATATTTAGACATAAAGGAAGCATTATGCTTTTATTTCATCTTGCGCTTATGTTCTTTCTCTCTTGCCCAAATGTCAACCCCATGCTGTTACTTAGAAGTGTAACATAAGAAGTTGTTTTTGAATTGAGTTCACAGTGTGAACTACAGTTGAATATAAATGCCATCTACAGAAAATTGATCACAGGGAAACCATTAGAGCTGTGAAGGGCTAGTTTAATGTTGCTCTGTCATTTGATTAATAGAAAATGATTTAGTCTTTGGAAATTGCCTGGAAAAATTTTTTAAAAAATAGAAAAGTGCTTGTTTGTTGCGTTTACCACTGACCATACAAATATCTATGGCATGTGTTTCATATTACCCATGTGACAGTGCTTTGGTTTTTCAAGGTAATAGAAATTTCAATTTCATCATAGTTACCTGCAATCCAGTTAATCAAATACATCAAGCTCATGAAACCAGAACTGTTAACAGTGTTCATATTAAAGTAAGGTCTTCTAGAGCAGCTTTCAGAAACTTTTTTTCAATACCAGACAAAAGACATTAACATTGGAGTCACACTCGTGGGCAAAGATAAGAAAGGCAATAGACCATGAGAACTTCCCAGATAATTAGCTGAGGCTCTACCTCTTTATCTGCCTTTCAAAAAGCTGGTGAAAAACCCAAGTAAGAGCAATATTATTAAGGGAAAATCTTGTATATACCCTAATTATATTTAAGAAGTGAATCGTTTGCAAACTTTGGAATTGTATTATTAGTCACAGACCACTTTGAGCACAATTGAAAAACTGATTACGTTATAACACCACAGTGGAGACTGCTACTCTCCAAACAGAGAATTAATAGTTATTGAGCTTTATAATATGTACCACTAACCAAGTGAGCAATGTTTCATATTTTATTTCATGTAAGCTAAAATTCTTATAAACTAGGAGATTTTATTTCATTCCAAAGATGGGAAAACCAGGGCTCTTGGAAGAGACTGGATACGGATTCAAGTTTCTCTGATTTCAAAGCCCAACTCTTTCCACCTTCTAGCTAGCAAGAGAGGTAAAGCGTGCTGAATAATTTATACAATTTGCCATTCATACCAAGAGTTCATTCCTGATAGAACTCTTCTCTTTTTATGTCCATAGAATGCCTTACTTCTGCTTTGGAAAATAAGGAACCAAATACAAACGTTTCAGGGTCATTGCCATAGTCATAAACTCCTTGTCCATGTAGTTGGTAGAAAGCAATTCTTCTATCTCCCAGCCTGGAGCTTCATCATTGGATTCATAGTGATGAAAACAGTACTTTTTCTCTAAACAAACAAAACAGACACAGCAATAGATGAAAATTTCAGTATCCATCACTGCCAGTGACATCAAAGGAGTGAATTTTTGTTTTCTCTGTATTGATTTTATGATATTGTTAATGTTAGTGCTTCGTTTTAAAGAACAGAGATAAAAGAAATGTGCCATGACTGAATACTAGTTGTTAAAACTATGATACCTCATGAGAATTTTTATATTAACTTTTTTATTGCTGAGAAATTAGAAATGACACTTTGGGATAAGTTGAGGGAAAATAGTTACAAAAATACTATTGTTGCCATCCAGTCCTTTGGAAATAAATGTTTTGACAAGAACCCACTGAGAGCTTACTAATTGCAAAACACTTAGGCCTTTAATCCTGATTGGGTTTATACTGTCAGGAGGCATACTAGGACTTAGTCAATCCAGTTGGCCTGTCCAACTTATAAATCCATATGGATTTCTGCAGATTTGGCCATGGCAATGGGCCTTGATTATAGGATAACGTAATGAATGGATTGTCCACATTGTGTCACCTATGGATCCGCCCACAGCCCAGTACATAATTAACATGACCTGAGAAAACGACACAGGACCCTGAGTAGTTTTTCTTTAGCCATCTTATTACGTAGTCATTTGTTCAACATATATGCATTGTATGCCTTCTATGTGCCAAGCACTGTGCTAGAGGTTGGTAATACAGAGTTGAACAAGGCACATGCCCTCAAGAAATTTAAAGAAACACATGAACAAGAATAACTATAATTCAATGTGATAAATCCATAATAAAATATGAACTGAGCCCCATGGGGGCATAGTGGAAAATGTCTCTCTACCATGTCTCACCTGGGGTGTAAGGGACTGAGTGAACAATAGTGTTATCGTAGTGGGTTTGAGGAAACAAGGGAATGCATGATAATGCAATGTCAGGCACCCTGTGACACTTCCAGGGACACATAAGAGATTAAATAGCAGTTGAGTCAAAAGACCATAAGAAAACATTTCCATTTCCATCAGTGTTATGATGAGTTAGATATTATGTTCATTCAGTCTCACAAATTCATATAAGATGCCAAAAACATCTTACTGGGTAATTTTATCTTTGCCTCTGCTTTCCAGCTGAATTATTTTTAATCCCTCCAGTTTCTTAAATCTGAAAAATAATCACGTGGACTCAGATCTTTCAGAAACAGCAGTGTTGTCATGGAGAAACACTAAATTGAAATTCAAGAGACCAGGATTCTGATTTGACTCAGCTCATTACCTGCATGCTTTTCGATAAATGTCCTCCCAACCTGGACTCTAGTTTTCTTGTGTATAAAATTTCCAAGTTAGACCAGATCCATTACTTTAGAAGGTTGATTCTAAATCCATCTTCCCTTATTTCCCACCACCTTTTGCCCAGACATTAATTATAGCGAACTAAAAGGCACAGTTTGGATTTAGAGTAGATACCTTTGGGGATGATCCCTCAGTTTGTAATGATTTTCCCTTTGCTGGGTTCCTAATAGCTCCGTGTGTATTAAATGACACGCATCTTCCTCATTATCTAGCCACAATTGATTGGGCTAAGATAGACATATGGCCAAATTAAGTCAATCATCAGCTTCCTCTTGGGAACTCTGGCCTGGACGATCTCTGAATAGAGGAGGTTTCAAACCTCAGATATGATGGACAGTCATGATTTCTGCCACATGTGCTAAGAATGACAAAGAGACTGTCTAAGCAAGATGAGCATGCAGCAAACACTAGTGTGAGAAGCAGAAAGAGAAACTTCTTGGCTTTTTGACATTTTTCTTTTGTCCTTCCTGAGGCCGTGTTGTATTCTGCCATGAGTTCCAAGAGATTCCCCATATCTTTCACAAGCGATTACTAAGATTTTGCTTAAAACATCTTGAGTTGGTTATATTACTTACAGTCAAAGAGGCGTGATTAATACAAGTAAAAGACTGTTAGGAATGGACATCTCTGTGTTGAAATATATGAAAGGTTTCCAGCCTGAATTTGCCTGACGTGCTCATTGATTGATGGCTGAATGGAACGCTAGATAATGGAGCCCTCCATCTATTTATAGATGGTAAAGTAAACAAACTAAACAGAAATGATTAAGAAATTAATACTGGACATGCAGCCAGTCATTATTAATTCATAAGTTTGTCAGACAGACATTCCCAAATGACCAGAATTTGAGTGAATTTCCTTACTCTGATTAGAATTAATATGATATTTCAAATGACTCTGAAAACATTTTAGCTCCTTCTATGCTAATCATCTAGGACTTATTTTCCCTTTGCATGTTGAGGGGTCATACAGTAAACATAGGCTAATTAATAGTCATTTGGATCTTTAATTATCTTTTTAAAGCTCCAAGCCAACCACCAGCTAACATTGCCTGGAAGCTGACAAACTCTAAATTATGCCTAAACTGGGAGCATGTAAAAACCATGGAAAATGAGTCTGAAGTATTGGGTTACAAGGTGAGTATTTAGTTTCTCATTTAATCCTATCAAGTAAGTTACTAAGGAACCAGAAATGTAACAATCAAATAGGAAATACATCTTGTGCCTGTGGAAACTTAGGAATCTTTTTAAAAATGTTTTGAAAATATTCAGCATTGCTGCTTTCAAATTCTTCATTGAAAAGTTTTGTATGCTGAGGTCGGTAATGTGTCACGGAGCATCAAGAAATAAAATTCTACAGTATGTAATGTTTTTTCTTCAAGTGACTCCCCTTGCCATCAAAAGACAATGGTATATGTGTGAGATGAGAATGAGATCAAAGAATATATTCAGATAAAATTTCTAGGGCTTAGGTTGCAGTAAGATGTGATCTTTTAACAATATAAAAGGAATCTAACAAGAGTATAGTCAAATAGCCAGAGCAGATCATTTCCATCAGTGGTAATAGACATCCTCTCGAGGCAAATGCATATATTCAGATGTTTGAAATGGGTCCAAACTAACCAGTGACTTTTCACAGCAAGTTCCAAAGATTATAGCCTCAAGCTATTTAATTAATAGAGATAAATCTATTCTCATGTCAGAAGCATTGGCCAAAAAGGAAATTTTTTTCTTAACAACTAAATTCAAAGAAAAGGCATGGACTGGATATTTCCTTCCGAGGAGTACAGCATTTATAAAGATACGTCTTACAGTGTTCTGTAAGAATGTCTGAACCTTAGAAAAGCAACATGTCCATTTAACTTGATTCACCATTTTATTCAGATTCTGTACCGGCAAAACAGACAGAGTAAAACTCATATTTTGGAAACAAACAATACATCAGCTGAGCTTCTGGTTCCATTTGAAGAGGACTATTTGATTGAAATAAGAACAGTTAGTGATGGTGGAGATGGAAGCAGCAGTGAGGAAATTAGGATTCCAAAAATGTCAAGTAAGTTGAATCACCATTGCTGTTGGAGATTTTGAATCTAGACAGCTGCAGCATGAAATCTGGGCTCTATGAATCTTTCCAGTTCCTGTCTAAATGTTGGGTGAAAAAACAAAAGGTCTGGGTTTCCTTTTTCAATTATGAGCAAGTGGTATTGAATCAATTTTTCTTTAAATAATCCTTCAAATTTGCAACATGCTCACATATTACAAAGTTTTATGTTTCCTCATTTGAATCTCAAAAAAAAAGAAATGACAAAAACACACACAACTGTGTGTCATTGGTGCATGATTCATTCTATTGGCACAAAAATCAGAATGTTTTTCCATGGGTACTTGTAGGCTTCTGAGAGCAAGGACAGAAAATATGAAGCATGTGTACATATATCCCTCTTCCCGTATTCATGGCAGACATCACTAATCAATCATGGTATTCATATTCAGCTGAGTCACAACTTTTAAATCCTCTCACTACTATGTTCCAAGGAAGTAACATCAATCAGTCAGATTTAGTATGTAATAATCATTTATTATTTCTGCTTTAGAAGAAGCACTCAGTCATCTGCCTGAATCTGTGACAGAGTAAAAGTCATCAGCTACCCCATGTTGGCCAATTCTAATTTACCCTTTAGTCAGACATGGACAGCTTAGGCATTTTTCTTTTTCATTTTTACATTTAAAACACATTTCCTAGGACAGAGGGTCAAAGATACTTCCTTAAATTAAATAGAATGTAAGTGAAATGAGAGTTCTAAAATATGTTGTTAAGGAGAGTAGGCATTTTCAGTCAGGAAAAATTAATCTAAAAAGCAATTTTACTTTTTCCTCAAGATATTTTGCTTTATTTTTATCTCTTGCAGGTTTGAGTTCCAGAGGGTTTCCAGTCTCAGAACCTAGAGTCCATTTCCTGTCTGTCATCATGATTTTTTACTGTTTGCTATTCAGCCACTTAAACAATGAATAAAACCATAAATCTTTGAGAGTTTTTTGAAAGTAAATCATTCTGTAAATAAGCTCTCCAGCCCCCATTGCAAGATACATTCTTAATACAGATTTATTTGGAAAGAAGAAAAATGTATATTATTAAGATCTTATAAATATCTATGGTACATTAATAAAACAGTTTTAAACACTTTCGAATTTTAAAGTTCACAGTGATTACATACACTCAGAAGGTTCCAAATTAACTCTTGGAATTGTAACTGCTGTGTCTTTTAAGTGATTTATATGGAGATTATAAATAACTCCCCTTGATGACAATGATAAATACGAAATACGTTGCAGTTACCCTAAGATGTACATTTTTTACTTACTCCAGGCAATTTACTTTAGTATTAAAAATTTTCACCGTACTTAGAAATAAAATATAATTATTTGTTTATATTTGGGATTCCTTAAAAAATGTAAGCTATTCCAAAGCATGATATGCTTTTATCTCTGAATCAAGTTGGGACAAGAAATATTTGTACCCAATAATGTGTTCATATACATGACGTCCTTCTCAATTCGCTTTTCTAGGAGGTTCAATAATAATTATGGCAGAAAAAGTGCTTTCTGGTGAAGAAAAAGAAAAGAAGGGAAATAAGCACCCACCTAAAATAACTTAACAACTTTGGAATATAGTAAGCAATTTCTCATGACAAAGTTTGATTTTTTAATCAATTCTGTATTATCCCAAGGAGAGAGTTGCATGAACAGGTCTCAGGTAATTATTACAAATTGTTAGCAAAATATATGGCCTTATTTTTATACAACAAATAAATCTTGGGACAATTATTTAACCAGGTTTTTTACATTTTGGTCAAAATATTTTTTTGCCAATCTTTTCTGCAGCTATAAAAATGATCCTACACAGTCCAAAGCTTAGAAAACTTTTTGTGGGTTGACTCCTCTCTGAGATGAACCTATTTAAGTCGGTGGTCCCACTTCTTGGGATTGCACATTATGGAGAAAGCAGTCTGAGAGAAGGAAAGGTTAATGAGTGGGCCAATGCCATTTTATGTAACCATCCATTTTCTTCACAAATAGCCTTGAGGGCTTTGTCCTGCTGTCAGCCTGCTACAGCTCCCAGCCAATTAGATTTGATATCCTGGGGAGCCAGGAGTGAGAAATAGTCAGACTAGGTTTGCCTTCTTAACATGGTGTGTCCTGTTAATTATGATGAAAATATTTGAACTATCTTCACAACCCTCAAATCACACAATCCTCAAAACTGGATTTTGTCATTTTCCTTTCTAAAGTATCTGAGAGCTGTTTAAAATACTCCACATAGTCAGCAGCAGAGGGACAATGACTCTTCATAGTTCAGAATTACTCCTTGCCTGAATAGTGTGTCAAGCACACAGTACAAATTAATGAGCCTTATTCTCCCCCATGCCTTAAGATCTGGCTGTGCTTTTATGGATAAAAATAAAAAAGCAACAGCAAATACTGTTTGGCCCACTCACGTTAACAGCTGCCTGTCCAACACGCATCTGTAGTGATCAGAGATACCAGCGATGGCACATGGTCTTGATGGTTTTCTCAAGTTGGTGAGAGAGAAGATTTTTGTCCTCCTCTCCGAAGCAAAGATTGAGAGTTAAATACACTATGAAATTTTTGTTTCCACTGATTGAGTGAATTAAATATATAGTCATATGTGTATGAGTCCAAAAGCTAAGTCAGTTCTTACCAATAACTCTTATATGTTTGCAAGTGTGCTTTAACTTATAATTAGTGAAGTATTAAAATTTTGCGCTATTCAATATCTAACATATTATTTATTTTTTCATCAATCCATACTCAATTTTTCAGACTACAATTTGGCATTGATATTAAACAGTGTATGCTTTGGCTCTCAATTGATCTGACTCTCTACTCTTAGTGAAGTTTTGGACACATCTTTTAACATCCTCATATCACTATTATCAGGATTAAAGGATATAATGTACACAAGTATTTAGCATTGTGCATGGAACATTGTAAGTCATCAGTAAATGGAGTTGCTGTCATCTGCTTCTATGAACTAAACCATAACGAAATAAATTACTATACTTTCTTAAGTGTCTGATAGACTATGAAAACAGATTCAACCTGTGTTCATGTCAAAATCCAACATAGCTTCAAGGAAAATTAGTAGTCTACCTACTTTTGACACTAAATGGCACTAAAGACTGAAAGCAATGGTGGTTCTGTCAATTCACTTCAGGAAAATATTCTGTGTAATGTATATACTCATTTGACATTTAGGGAGGATTTCCAGTGGATCCCTCTATTAACAGAGTATATTACTGTTACAAACTATTATAAACATGATAACTCATTTCCATACTTCTTATAGAAAAGAGGAAAAAAATGTGATTGCACCTGGAAACAGCAGGAGGAAGAAGAGGGAAAAAAGATTAGGAGACTTGACAGGAAAAATAGAACATTATAAAGCTATGGGCTGCCTAAATAATGAGACTTCAACTGAGGTCTGTTTCCTCTCTTTTTCTGTTGTCCACACTATAATCCTTCTGGGTCAGCGTCTCTTCTTGAACTGACACCAGAGGATGGCTCATGGGAGGATGTGCTTGCTATCTTTAACAGCAAATGCAAAACAGTGAGGGACGACCTGGAGTGTGTTTGGATTCCAAATGCAGTAATATAATCACTACCTCACATAAGCAAATCTACTACTTTTAAGTCTCTCTATATTATCGGTTTATACTCCATCTTGGGATGTCAAGTTTTATGCACTCCCTATATGCTATAATTATTGCTTTATTTGCTATAGAACTGCATATTTAATTCAACAGAGAGTTTTTGTTCTAGAATTCAAGAATATGGTCATCACTTTTCTGTTGAACTCAGTATTTGAATTAGTCAGAGTTCTCCTGAGGAACAGAACTAATAGGATGTGTGTGTATGTGTGTGTGTGTGTGTGTGTGTGTGTTGAGAGAGAGAGAGAGAGAGAGGGATTCTTTATAAGGAATTGGCACACAGTTATGAGACTAAGAATTCTAGACCCAGGAGGGCCAATGGTATAGTTCCAAGTCTCCAGGTCTCCAGTCTGGGAACAAGGAGAGCTGATGGTGTAGTTTCCATGTGAGTCTCAGTGGGAAGACAGGAGAAGACCTATGTCCTAGCACAAGGATCCTTAGGCAGAGAGAAAGAATCCTTTCTTACTCAGCCATTTATTTTATTGAGGCCTTCAACAGATTGCATGAGGCCCATCCATGTTAGGGAGGGAAATCTGCTTTACTCAGTCTACTGATTGAAATGTTCCTCTCACCCAGAAACACCCTCATAGACACCACTAGCATATTTGTGCACCCTGTACCATAGTCAAGTTGACACATAAAATTGACCATCAAAGTACCCTTTTTGATGATTTTAAATAATTCAATTTTAATTCCATCAACTTTAGAAATGGTTATAGAGAAACTCTTCTCAGTTTATTTATCTGTAAAAATGAGACCATGGGATAACAAGATCTCTGAGTTCCTTTTAAACCCCATAATTCCATATCAAGCTGCATAGTGCGACAACTTTTAGCACAAAACAGTGTTTCATAACTTTTCTCAACCCCCACAAACTCTGCAAAGCTTTTTTAGTTTTTTTCTATATTTTCGTTAGCTTAAATGACTGTGCTAAGCTTTTTAAATTGGATCTTATATTGCTAAAAGAATAGTTAAATTGAGTATGTTTTTCAAACTATAGAGAACCCTCAGAGATTCTGACCCGTCTTCACACTCCATTGAGCATCTCTGGAGTATTCAGTGGCTCCCAAGTGCAAGGCTATGATAAAGTTTTCATTATTAAGTGAAAAAGTGAGACAAGTTCAGAGGATGTGGTGAGATTTTAATAATGAATAATTTATGAGATATTTGAGAGATTATGACTTTCTTCTGCTTTTTGAGGTGAAATGTCCACTCTTTGATGAAACAAAGTCTGAATATCAGCTTGCCTTATGTATTCCATTTTAAAATACCCTTATTTGCTGAAAGACTAGGTTACTTTCTATAAATCAATTTGGTTATTATTATTTAAGACTTTTATCTTTTGAGAAAATCAAAAGCCTGAAAATCACTCATTTAGTTTATCTCTTTTTTATACTTTCTTTCTTTTATCTCATTAACATCAAATTACTAAGTTTGACCTTACGTTTATTGACCTAAATTTTGTGAGTTAAGAGCTTACTCTCTTACCCTTGAACATCAATGTTCTGAGTTCTATGGAATTATTGGTTATGTCCATAAATGCAACCACAGGTCAGGGAAATCTGATCTGCCTTTTATAACACGCTGTTAATATAATGAAGATAACAATGAGAAAAGAACATTAAAATCCTGAATTTTTTCATTATCTTAAAATTTGGATATTTTAAGTTTTCTACTTTTCCATATTAAAATTTATTTTCTTTCATGAAATTTTGAACAGTAGCTATTAGGCTTTCTTTCATGTCTTTAGATAACAAAATAATTTTTATAAAAAGGCAGATTCATCTACCTCATTATTTTTAATATTCCTGTTTTTGACAGAGCTTAGCATAATCCTGGAATGAGAGAATGATGCTTAAAATACATATTTTGCTTTCTGGACTGATTTATACAGCCAACTACTGGGACAAATTTGTTTTCTCTTAGTTTCCTCAGGAAAATAACTGTTTTTCTTTTATAAGCTTGGATAAAATAATAAGCTAATCTAAAGTCCAGATTTTTATGGGTAAATAATATATTCCTGAAAGAAATAAAATAAATAAAAGTAAAATGTTTGGAATATAGTCTTTTTTGAAATATCGTCAGAAATGCTAAATTATTTTCCTGTTTTCAAAAACATATACTTTACAACCTGATTAGGCATACTTTAGAAAATACTTCTCTTGTCCCTGATAAGGCTCAGGAGAGAAGCGGACTTGACGACTCTTTAAATAAAGGTAGCAACTTGTAGCTCAATGAGTGAGAAAAGAAATCCTGATGTAATGAATTGTTTTGCTCCCCCTCCACATCAAAGACTGGAA